AAGATCACAATTTCTGAAACTGTCAGTGTAGAAATAAGATTTTTGAATGTAGCAAGCAGTCATGGGTCCAAGTTCACTTCTGCTCCTCCTGGTCTGAAGTGCTAACGGTAAATTAAGGAGTGGGGCAGATAGCTGTGTGTTTGTGGGAAATAACATCTTAATCTACAACTTCTGCTTCCTTCAGAGCATTGAAAGCAGAGCCTAAAGTCTGGTCTTTCAACATCACAAGAATTTATGCCTCTAGTAAGTTGAAATCAATCTCTCCTTTATAAATGCACACTGGGAAAAGGGATTTTTGGCATGACGTCTACCTGGCTGGAAATGTCCTTGAAGGCTTCAGGTGAAGCATAGGATTTGTATCTTGTTCAACCCTTTTTTGGGAGCAGGAATGGTCAGTGATGATATTGGTGAGTGCCAGAGACTGGTGCTTGCTGGCATGGCTGCCAGCTCTGCCAGTCTCCTTCCCCAATCTACTGGCATTTAGCAGCAGCAGGGTGACTTCTGAGTCAGGTGGGAGGGCCAGGCCTCAAGAGCACTGCTGCAGCCTCTCAAACACTTGTTACCATGACATACCAGGCAAGACAAAAGAGAGTGCTAGCAAATTCCTTAATTGATGCATGATTGCTGATATCACATGAACCAAGAGCCCTCCAGCTTCTGCATGTTTGCTGATGACTTTGCACTCATCCAGCTCCTTCTTAGTCTTGGCTGTTCTCCCACATACTCCACCCATAGCTGACAAGTTTTGTGCAGCTTTATAACCCCATTAATGTATGAGTCAGGGTGCTGATTATTAAACAAAAAGGTGTGTGGTCATACAGACAATTATAGGTACAAGAGAGTGGTAAGGTGGTGCTGAGAACAAGTCAAGAATAATTATAAAGTTATTGGACTCTGTAAATGTGGTGGTAATTCCTCCTTCTCAAAGCAAATTAAACATAAATAATCAAATAACTCAGCAAAACTAATGAAGTCTCAAATTAATGACAATTGTGTTTTGCACTTTCCCAGGTCCATCTAGCTCTAAAAAAGGCTAATAAGCACTTTAAACTCTAACTTATTGAAGTGTTGAATTATAAAAGTGGAATCCAGGACACTACTGCCCTTCCTGTTAATTCAAGTTAACAAATGAATGAGAAGGTAACAGGTTTCTTGACTGAGTGTCTCCCAGGAAACCCACTATAACCCAGAACATTTACTGTTAAAATTATGAGCCCATGAAAATCCAAGTTTATAAGAACAAAGTTGTTTACAGACTTGAAATAAAAGCATCCATCATTTTAATGCTGTAACTGCAGATTAAGACAATGCAGATGGGCATAATTTTCCATTCTTAATATGAGACACAACACCATGTGTCTTTAATATAGATACAACATATACATTCAGCTAGAACATTGGTTTATTCTTACATTTCAAATTCCAACTTAAGTCACTATCTAAAAAAAGCAAGTGAGTACAAACACAGTAAAGATTATGCTGATATAAAGATCAGTCATTTAACACAATCTAACATGTTATTTGTAGGATCTACAGACAATGAAAAGTTTTCTCTGTTAATGCTTTGAATTAATCCTGTATCCAAATATTTTCCCCAATAAGCATCAAATTATTTTTATGTTGGCTATAAAACTGTCACTCCTCAATAAACAGACATGCTCCTGGTGGGTTTACCTAACTGTCAAAGACCTGTCAATTCATGCATCATCTAATAAGTGAAACCAGAGGACCTTTACTGCGCAGCTCCTAGCAAATCCAACTGAGCAGAGGTTGCCTATCAGCTGAGAGGATTCCCACCGCTGCAGGTCCTGCGCAATCAGTAGTGACTGGACGCTCCCAAAACAATTTCACAAAATCCCTGAAATTAATAGCTCTGCCTCCCTTTAAAAGAAAGTTACATGACCTTCAATGCTCTGCTCAACTGAGCCTTCATTTAGTGAGTATTAATTAAATTTTATATTTTGTGGCTCCCATTTTCAAGACAAGAGTTAAAGGGATAAATCTTTCTTTGAAGAACTTAATTCCCCATGAAGAAATTTTATTTCCAGCAAAAGAGATGCTCAAAGTTTGGGGGAAGGGAGTATTTGTAGCACTTCCTGTTTGTTTGGTTTGGTTTTTGTTTTGTTTTTGGGTTTTTGTTTGTTTGGATTTTTGTTTGTTTTGTTTTGTTCAAAGATTTCTAGCATTTTGTAAAGGAGTTTTCTGCTTCTTTGAAATGGGCAGTGTTCTGTTAGTGATTAGACGATTATTTCCTCTGTCCTTTTCATTGTAATGAGGACAAAATCAGGGGGATGGTTAAAGAATTCTGGCAGCTATTTGTGATGAAGCTTTCCATGAAATCAGCAGATTGCTCTAGTGATACTGCAGTAACATAGTACTGGTTGGTTTTCAGTAAGAGCCACTGTGGCAAATGAAACATTTGCATGTGTGTTCATAAAAAGAAATAATTCCTAGGCTGATTCTGCATAGTTAACCTCAACACAAAAAGGTCAAAAAATTAAGGCACAATGAAGTGTCTCACCTGAACTGGTCTTTGACATTCTGGCTTACCTTAGCTGCTACTACTCAAAAATGTAAGTATGAATCAGCATAAGCAATATTCCCAAATGTAAACATTTTCAGGGACAGACCATTAGTAACACTTCTTTTCCTGCTGTATTTCTATATTTAGTTAAGGGGTTTTTTTTAGTCAATTTAACATAAAATCACAGATGCCAAAAGGGAATTCACTGGATATAGATGCCTAAACCCTTTTCATTTAGTTTAGTTCTTTCTGCTTTAGTTTATGCCTAAACTCTTCATAGATTTAGATATTTATATATTTTCAGAAAATGCCACACACCATCAGGGGGGTTTCATGGTGCCAATATGAAATAAGCATGGGACATAAATGAGTTTCTTATACCCTCCTCACAGATTTACTTGAGTCTGAACACCTCATAAACTGATTTCGTTTGCTTAGTATCTAAATGTAAAGCCCTTTTTTGGGGCTCTCTTCTGCATATTTTTGTGGTCACACAAGGAATGGGTTATCAGGATTAGAGATTTTCACAAACTAAAATAATTCATATTCCACCCTCACTTCCTTCACAGTTGTCGTATTCGCCATGCTCCAGAAAACCAGACAACTTGTGCAGACAGGAATCAAAGACTCATGGATTCATACAGATTTTTCAGGATTAACTGATTTATTTTCTAATTGCTATCCAAAATTTAACATTATAGTTCATCTGAGATATTTTATCTCATTTTTCCTTCTATCCTTACTACTGATTGTCTGTTTAAATATAAATTTCTGCCTCTGTCTAACTTCCTGGAGAAAAACAGGTAGTCATGAAATTTCCTTTTTGGTTAGATCAGTATTGACTGCTTTTGATAGAGGCAAGTAAAACTCTGTATTAACTCTTGCCCAACAGAAATTCGGTGCAATCTACTGCTAAACCGTGATTTAAATATATAATATTTTCATGTAACCATCTTCTTTTTCCTGCTCAAAGGTTCATGACTTGTTACAAACATTAAAAATATTCTGGTTTATTTCCACTATCAGGGCACAAGAATTCCATAGGAAAAAAACAATGAATAATCAATTACCTTGGAAGACATCTCTTGATTTAAACTCTCTCTCCAGATATGAAAAATACTAGTGAATTGGAATGAGATAAATATTGTTTTCATACTCACTGACTTAAATATTGAAACTAGTTTTCTATTTAAAAATAGTTTTACATTATCATAAATATTAATACGGCAATAGTTTTCTTTCAAGAAGCAATACAAAATAACATAAACTCTCTCAACAAAAATGAATTTACAACTAATAAGGACAGCTGTGACAACTTCCTCTTTCAACACCTTAATAAAACCTCTTTGTATGTCCCTACTTTCTCATTTCAAACCATCTGGTTCTATATGGATGTACTAAGGTAGTTTAGCTTAGCTAAATCTCACTGTAAGAAACAAAGCTGGGCTAGTTATTAATTTTCACTGCTCAAATCACCTCTGTTTTTCCAGTGCAGCTTGTGGATGCAAGAAGTCTATGTCTCACTGCACCTATGTTGCCTCCATACCCAGCATCTGTGCCATTATATAAAGGAACAGTTCCATTTTGATGAATATTTAGGTTGTAGCCATGATCTATGGGTTGGACTCAATGATCTCAATGGTCTTTTCCAACCAAATTGTTGCTGTGATATGTGAATTAAAAAAAAAAAAAAAAAAAAAAAAAAAAAAAAAAAGGGTTGCTATGGTATTAAAAAGGTCTATAGAAAGCCTGCCAGCTACTCAAAGCTAGGTTTTACCAATTAGAGTTACCTTGATTAAAGGCTAGCTTCCAAAGAGCTCCTGTGGATAACAGACTTAACTTTAAGCATATGATTGATCCCATTACATTCACTGGCTTTAACTGGACTGCTCATAAAATTAAACCTGTATTTAAATGCCTTTCTGGATCAGAACCCAACTCCCTTAGAAGAGCTTGAGCTTAGAGCAGTGGTACCTTGGCAGTGGCAGTGATGCCAATATGATTCAAGTAATTCTTTTTTCCATATTCTGTCAAACTGAAAAGCTGTGAAATTTTGCTTACACAGGTCCTGGAAACATTGTCTGCCACAGGTAACTGGGAATGCCATCTCATTGGAGCTTGTAAACAAGTGATACACTCAACCTGAGCTAGTTACTAAACCAGGACAAGACACAAGAGTGAAGATACAGCAATACACTGATGCAGCCATCCTGCTCCAGTGCTGAAGCAGGCTTTGCAGCAGCGTCTCTATGCAGCTGTGCATTCTTTGACATATTCTAATAACCCAAAATGGCATTGTGAGTCTAATTTAGACTAATCAAGACTTTTCAAATTGTGCTCGTTATGTACGAATATGTTTGCCAAATTCTTGCAATTGCAAAAAGAAGAGCGGAATATAAAGAGGATCTAATGTCTGGAAAATGGATGATTAAGAAAGGTTGCATAAAATTGACAATTTTAAAACATATACTCTTACCCTTCTCGTTGGAAAATAGTCCTAAAACAGTCCCCCAGGCTCTTGTAACTGGTTGGATCAGTTTTCCCTCTTTGAATTTGGAACCTAAAAAAAATACAATTTACATCACAGCATGAGAAGTCAGGGATTTTAAGTCACTTTTAACTTTCCAATTATTATATAAAAGGAGTTTTAAAGGGTTTTTTTATGTCTCTGATTCATTATTATATACTGTTCCTGATATACTTATTAACACTGTTTTCATAGAAGCTGTTAAACCAAGGAAAAATAGAGCTTTAGTAGTAACTTTTTTTGTAGTTTATGGAACTCACAGTATAGCTATCACCTTTGACATTTACACCTCTTTCTAGTTGTTTGAAAAATAAGCTGTTAACCCTGTGCCTGATCCAAAGCCCACTGAAACTAATGTGAATATTTGAGTCAAACCCTGCTTTTGAAAATCTGGAATGTAATACTATCATGTGTTGCTCATTTTTATATCTGACACAACTACAACAAAAATCAAGCAGAGACATGATCAGATATTAGAGCACTATTCATTTTTCATAATTCAATAATGAGATGAACAATAAAAGCAAGCAATTAATTATTCTAATTGAAACCTTATTTTCTCTATTCAAATTTTGACAACAATAAAAATTTCAACATGAAGCTTGTGGCCTTGAAAGGAAAATAAAGATTATGATTTAAGATTGTAAACTTCTTATTGTTATGATTTATGGATAGCAACACTGAGTTTAACAAACTATATTATTTTACTAAGTATCTCAGTTAGAGGATCCTATTTCTTTCAGTTTCAAAACTGCAGCTGGCACATTCAAGTAGATTTAGATTAATTTTTAGCAGCATAACTTCTTTTTAAACTGCTGATTACCAAATAGAACTAAAAAATGAAAAGTATAGTGCTTTTGGCAATGCCAGTCTAAAATAGCCTTACAAAAGGCAATCACTATACTGTTTTTTTCCCTGGGTACAATAATCATCCTGGTTTCAAGGAATAATTAATATTACAATCAAGTACACCACTTGCCACAGGTACACTGCTGTTCTGAGAAACGTCAATTGTTACTTATTCTGATCACGATGTATCTCATTTATGTGAGATAATGAATCAAGGCATTTTTAACTCAAGGTTAAACAGCAATTTTCTCCTCTCCCACAGAATTCAGTAAGGTCAAGTGAACATTTGTATTGTGGCAAAAGGCATTCCTTGTTTTCAGCATCAGTATTTCTGTGCTAACACATCTAAAATTTTGTTTAATTTGAGGAAAAAAATTCTAGTGATGCAATTCTTTGGGCAATTATGAAGGCAAGCCCACACCTTTTTTAAAACAGTCAGAAGGAAACACTGAGTCCCTCCATAGTCCTAATAAAAGTTGTTCAGGCACATCTGGGATCTCTATCTGGGGTAACCTCTTTTATTAGCACAAGAACTTGCTGCCAAGTTGGCAGAAAGAAGAATGCTATTCAATAGACTTACACTCAAATAAGAGCTGGTGCATAACATTTTGTCTGAAAAGATCCCTTGGGAAGGCTAATAGTTGAAAAAAATGCCTCAATGCCATCAGCATAGTCCAACAGCAATACCAGCTACAGAAGCTTTTACATTGTGGCAGTCAAGCAATCCAAATTATAACAGAACCTAGTTTCTATGCTCATTTTAATATATTTAAGGCTTGATTGCTTATACACCTCAGCTCAAAATTAAAAATGTCTTTCTTTTTCTGAAATAAAACTTGCAAAAACTCACCTCATACTTTCTCCAAGTATTGAAAAACAAAGTTTTCTTAAACCAAACTCATTTCCTTGAGTTTCAAGATTTGGCCTCCTTATAAACTCAAAAAAGTATCACTGTTTCTAAAACATCATTTGAATAATGCAGTTTGCTCTCTTTCACCCTGTAAATGCTCAGCAATGTCCTACTTGCATATGTGTAAGGTTCCCCACTAAATTGTGCATGCAAAACTGTTTGTTGAACTGGGGCTTTAATTCCAGAGTCACAGTGGATCTCAACAACATAGTGAACATATTTATATAATTCTGTTTAACAGCTTACACATTGGCAACTTCTCAACTAAATTTAAATGATTCAATAAAAATACATCTTTTATAGCAGTAATGTAAGTAATGGCATAAGAAATGCAATAATCCTGTAGGTAATTTAGGTTTTATCAGATGAAGGCTAACTTCTTGGTAAAGAAGTCAAAGAAGCTTTATATTTATTTCACATATTTGTTTTAATATAGATAAGACTTTAGTGTTAAATGAGTCCATTTGTTACACTGAGTCACACAAATAACATATTCCTTCCTTTAGGGTTTTTGGATCCATTCCTTCCCTAGTAAATCTATTTTACAGCTTTAACAGCAATTCTAAAATGCATGCCAATTATGTGCTTCAACCTAGATCTGTGAATTGGCTTCTTTGATTCAGAATTGCTTGCCTCAATAAAATCATGTATAACTTTTTAATGAACTAACTAATTGATCAACAGCACTTGTTATAAGAAGCTCAGGGAAGAGCTGAAAAAATTTGTTTGTTTGTTTTCCTGGAGACAGCAGCGGCAGCCTCTATTAGTAGTCTTAATAACACAGAAGAGGTAAAGCATTCCCTTAAAGAAAACCCCAACCTGGCCTGGTTTTAATGATTGTTTAGAGGAATGAACACAACTGGGGGATATGTAATGGCTTTCTCTGCTTCAAATCCGTTCCTTTCTAAAAGCACTATAAAACCACTGAATTTCATGCATTTTTGAAACTTGGATGGCTGCCTTGTATCCTTTTAGCTTTTGCTAGACCAAAAAAGATAAATTCCCCTCTAAATACCATTGGAGCACTAACTTCTGATCTAATAATTCTGAAGTGTGATGGCAGGCAGCCCTCAGTGACATGCAGAACAGCCATATGTGCAAGAATGCTTTTCAAGGGCTGGGATGGAGGACCTCCTGCGCACTACCAGCATCCAAGAAGTGTCAGAAGTCACTGGACACTCCAACACATTGTGTGCCTACTGCAAGCTTTATCTCTTTAAAAATTAGCATCAGGCTAACTTTCCTCCCCTGTCATTTTCCTGCTTCTTGGCTTTCTGGGCAGAATGCTGTGGTGTTGAGCACTCCCACCCCACAGAGCTGGGGCAAGGACTTTGCACCCCGGGTTACCTGGGGCCAGCCAAGGCATTTACTGCCTGCCCTCTTGGCTCCTTGCAGTTCCCACATCCATCTCCCATGCTATGAGGGACTTCCCATTTTCCTTTTCTGGCTTGTAGCAACAGTCCAAAGGGCTTGGTCTTCCATGGCCCCTTTGAATGAACAGTACCTTTGCAGTAGCTTCACTAGATACCAAAGTGCCCTGATAATGTTCAAGAAGAAAACATTGGTGTCCTTCCCTGTTCACTGCAGAAGACACTTGGTTGGGATCTCTGTAAAAAGTGGAAACCCTGTAAAACTATTTGAGGTTTTGGGGTCTGTTCAAAAGGCATTGAAAACTGATGATCTAAAACCATGAAAATATTTTAACTTACCCACTAATCAGCACTAAAACTTCTACTTGTGAAATGAATAAACCTAAATTATTGTTATTTTACTAACATGAGAGAGAACATTATTTAATGGTTATAACAGTCCTTGACCAATAAGTCTCAATGGGCTGTGCCTGAAATTCCATAATGTAGAAGACTCTTGAGTTCTTTCACCAGTTCTCTGAACCACTTATCGTTTAACAAGTGATCCATCATGCTGTAGAGAGCAATGACTCTACACAAACACATGCATCTGTTTCCAATGCCTAACTCACAGTCCTTGTTGGCTTTTTAATAGCCAGCACTTCCTTCTGAGTTCAATAAACTCCGCAGTCCAGATCATGCTTTTCTGATCCTATTCCTGTTCCTCTAGGTAATCTTTTATAATAGAATCAATACCTATAGAAGAACAAATAGAGGCATGTGCTTTATGAAAAAAAGATTCTTTCACATCCCTCTATAATTTGCCTAATTTTTTGTTCATGTTTGCTGAATATCTCATCAAAGTTTTCTTGTGCATGTCTACTACTACATTATCAAGCTATTTAGTGTTTAAAGCCTGTTTACCACAATGTAAATGTGGTAATGTTTACCTAAAATCCTCCCCGTTTTATTTACTGATCTGGGCTGGAGAAAGATTTCTGATTTGTATTGACATTGTTTTAGTCATCTTGAAATCTGAAAGGAAGAAATCAGTATTTTCATATCTAGATTGAAGCACATAGTGAGCATTTAAGTCCCAGTTATGTAGGACAACTACAGTGTGATATGGAGCAGTCTAGACTTGTCAGATTCTTGCCACTGGGTTTGCAAAGACCCGCATGCATAAATTCCAGAATTTCTGCCTGTTTTTATCCAGCACTGCTGACTGGTTTCTCCACCACAGAGTTCAAAGGGAAAGAAAAACTCCGACTCAGAGAACCAAGGTTTATACCAGGCTGCAGTGCTTGCCAAGGAGTGGCAGCCTTAGCTGTATTTTCCTTCTCTGCACATCTCAGTAGGATTTTATCATAGGTTCTACTTGGTTTTGAATACAGCTTCCACCATTTCGATTCATGGTTGGGGTTTGTGCAGTACCAGAGCAAATAAACTTGGGAACTGACATATGTAGATGCTATAAAGAAGATAATGACATGGTATAAAAAGAAAACAAATTAAAATATCTGTGCAGCTTTAATTTTAAAACAACTTTTAAATAAATGTATAGTCTTTGGAAAACTGAAAACATGTACAGCTTTTTTGTACTTTCAGTAATTCCCATTATTCCAGACTCCTAACTGTATTTGCCACACCCTTATATGTTGATAAAAAAAATGTAGACTGAAGTTTTATACAAATACACATTTTTTAACAGTTAACATGCTTATAATAAAATAAAATAACTTATATTTTTAAATTAAATTTCAAAAAGATTTTGATTTGTTAAGTTAAACATTTATTCAGGTGTTACTGAGTGATATCTACTGATGCTTAAATTTCATGCAAAACTTTGGAGTGGAAAATGTCTTTCTTTCACTTTTTGGCTCAAGTTCTTTCAGTTGCTTATGTTACTTACAGGATAATAACTA